CTGATCCGTGTCGATCAAAATAAACAATTCTATTGGCTTTAGGTCACGTGATGGACACGGCTTTAGACGACCCCCATTTTTGATTAGACTGTCTATTCATATCTCACTATTCCGTATTCCGAACAGTCCGTTCTTATATGTAAAAATAACAAAAAGTTCAGTTTTCAAAGAGTTACTATGTTTCTAATCCAAACTTTATAATAAAATTTACAAATGTTCTGAAATTTTGTGTTCGGTTTTTACGTACGGAGTTTATGGTTCGGATTATCCAAGTCCGGATTTGAAATTTCACGATAAAATCGAATCTAATCGGATTCGGGTAAACTCTAGGTAAATTAATCTAGCCCGATTCGGAAATCTGCACAATTAATAAACTACACTAATTTACATTGATCAAAACTTAATTATTTCACAATGGCAGACTCTCAGGAACAGAATGAATACGCTAAAAGCATATTTGCTAACAATTTAAAAGGCATGGATGCTGTAAGAGAACTTAGTTTTTATGTTTATTCTTATTTATTAATTTATATATCTTTAACATGAGGCAACTCTTACTTTAAAGTACACACGCCATAAAAAGTTTATGAACGATTATGTTAACTTTTATGGTCGAAAGAGCAATCAAGGAACTGTAACTAATGCAGAAAAAGGATATAAAAGCGAATTTGAAATATTGAAGGAGAATCATAAGTAATTGAAATTATAATAGTTAATTCTTGAAGAATTAATAGCAACACAGTTTAAGTGGGTTGCATAATGACCTTTTTTTTTTTTTGTTTAGATTTCTTCGTTCTGATGAAGATGATGAATCCGAATTAACCTGGGAACAACGGCTTGCAAAGAAATATTATGATAAATTGTTTAAAGAATATTGCATAGCGGAATTAAAATATTATAAAGAAGGCAAGGTACGTATTAACGTTAAAAAAAAAATCGGTGTTTCACCTTGAAAATATACTTGACATGATTTAAAAAAATAGATTGCATTACGATGGAGAACCGAAAAAGAAGTTATAATAGGCAAAGGTTAATGAACCATTGCATTAATCTAAATATAAAATGCCGAACATTTCATAATTTATTATACTGCCATCTTTTTTTAGGACAATTAACTTGTGCTTCAACAAGATGTTCTGAAAAAGTTGATCTAAAGTCTTGGGAAGTCAATTTTGCATATGTAGAGGATGGTCAAAAGAAAAATGCATTAGTAAAAATCCGACTTTGTCCAAAATGCTCTTACAAATTAAATTATAATAAGATTCACCAAGAAGCAAATAAGGAAGAAACATCAGAAACATCGGAAACATCAGAAACATCAGAGATTAAAGATAGTGAACGGAATAAGCATGAAAAACGAAAAAGAAAATCTTATGATAGTGCTAGTGACCAGGAACAAGATTTCAAGAGCGAAGATAGGCGAGATGTAACTGATGGCAAGAAAGCGAAATTAGGTATTAGTTGTTTTATATAAAATATATTAATGTTTTATCCGTTTATCTTATGTTATTAAAGTGTGTATATTAATTAAATTTTGTTTAGAAAAATCAAACGTAGAGGAAAAGAGTAAAGATGAAGAGTTTGATAAATATTTTTCTGGATTATTCGATTAGTCATCTACTGTATTTGTATATAAAAATATACGTAAGCTATCATTCACTTCAAAATTTATTGCTGAGGATTCAGCATATTTGGTGTTATATTTCATGAATTTTTATATAAGCGGTATCTTATAAATGAATCAAAAAAACGTGATATTAATAAAATATTTAAAAGTCCAATAAAAGCATTAAGATTATTTGCAGTGAAAATGTCAAATATCTGTTAGAAATTGATGTTACAATTAAAGATTGTAGAGGTTCACTGAACTTTTTGGGGATCACAGTCTGGACCGATAACGGTCTGGTCTGGAATCAATCCGAATTTCACCATTAGAAACTGTACGTGTTACAATTCAGAAATTGTATCTTTATTAGTTTAACCTCTCATGAAAATAGATTATTAATTTAAAAGTTGACTTTCTAGATTTTGAAATTAGACAATAATGTTTATGATGATTTTTTTACTCCAATTAAAGATTAATTGACACTATTTCTCATATATCTGTATATAGTTGAAGCAATAATGATAAAACGAGAATTTTTCTAAAAATGGTTCTAGCTTTCGTTGGCTGTGATCGGGTATTTACCGTCGTGGATCATAATGAAATCGGATTAAAATGAAATGAGGGGTTTATATTTGTCCCCCAAACCCACTTACTGTATATTTGCTTATTAAAAAGTGCACCCCAAAAATTTGTATTTTTCGGTGGCTTGTCTATTTTACACTATCTCTCATTTCATTTTAATCTTTTAATCCGTCACATTTACTATTGGTCATTGGTCATGAAATTAAAATTTATCGGCTCATGATCTTGAGCAAAATCATTTCTAGAGCCGATACTTTATTAGCAGCGATAGATGGTAGCTGAAAGGTAGAGTACAATATTTTTAATATGAAATCGGTTGCAAATTTTTTATGTTATACATACGTAGAAATAGGATTTCTATATTTAATTCTGGAACTAGTGTTGTAAGCCGGCTAAGGCAGCCGTGGCTAATGCGGCTGAAGGACACATGATTATAAGTAGTTAAAATCCTGATAAATTCTGAAATAGAAAGAGTTAAAGCCTTTGTGAAAGTCCCGAAAGATTCCGTTAGCCAGCCGCTTAGCCGATATTTGGTCGGCTGGCTTAACCAGCCGATTAAAACCATTCGGCTTACAACACTATCTGGAGCCATAAATTTAGTTAAAACAGTTAAATATGTATGTCGTATGTTATGTAACATCTGCTCCCATTGTGCTCTAATTTCTCTTCAAACAACCTACTTATTATTTTTTTAAAGATGTCTGAGTCTTCCGCCATTTCTGTTGTAATTGAATATATTGATGTTGATGTTGAGGTACCATCAACTGTGAAAGGACGAAAAACTCTATAAACTCTTAAAATCTAGTGTGGATTGTTGTATACTTATGGGGTGAGTTTTTCTCATTAAATATTGTTAGTTATAGTGTGTCTGAAGGTATGCTGTCACATCAGTGTAATGAAATCTGATAGAGGATTGAAAGCTCTTTGTGATCATTATTGCAATGATAGTGAATGTTCTCTTCTATTAGTTACTGATATTTCTGTTAGATAATTGGAGTTTTTTTGTATTAGAAAAACTGTTGCTGGGAAGTTGATGAATAGAATATACTCTGGCATTGAAAGTTATAACCATTAACTATTTTGGCTATGTTTCTTTGTTAGTTAATAATGATGATGTAATATTCACTTTATTTTGTTTATTTTATTTTTTGTTTTTTTTTTAGCAAAAAAAAGAAAGATAAAAGAATAAATTCAGCAGGTAAGAAAACTTGAAATTATTATGGTCAGTATATTTTTAATTTGATAAATATCTTTTATAAAGATTAATCAATTTCATACTTAAATACTTTTTTATTGATATTAAATAATAAATTTAATATTTTATATATATGAATTATATAATACTAATAGATTTTATTAGAAAAATTTAAAATTAGATTATTATCAATTAAAATCTAAGGATTTTAAACAATTCTCATTACCACTATTGATTAAAATCAATTGGGTTTTCATCAATTATAATCGATATATATAGAAAGCTATTGATTATAATTAACTTATACAGTTAACTCTCTCTAAATGCATGTTTTCTAAATGCATATTCTTTCTAAATGCAGATTTAAATTTGGGGTCCATATATATATTTGATCTCTATAAATGCATTTTTCTTAATTGTTTTTTAATGCATGTTGCTAAAAGTCTGGTCCCAATGCAATGCATTTAGAGAGAGTTAACTGTATATATAAATTTATATCAATTACTATTATTATAGATTTGGATATAAATCAATTATCAACACTACTGTTAATTATAACCAATCGATTATAATCAATTAATTGTTTACAACTAATCATAATCAAGCTTCAAAATCTTCTGAAATTGTTTAAAAGACATAATAGCTTGTATAATTCTATTACCAATTTTACTAATTATAAGTATTATTATTTTAATAATAATTGGAATTTTTAAAATTATAATAATAACTATTATTATGATTATTATTATTATTATTTTATTTTTTATTTTTTATTTTTTATTTTTTATTTTTTTTTTGTAATCAAGGTTAGCCTCTTTGGCTTGTCGTTTTTATTAGATTATAGAATCATGTGGTGCTCTTTCAAGGGGGCCCCAGACAAGTACATTCTGATGAGGATACATTCTAGCCATATCTATGCCTTTTGAGCACCTAATTAAGTAATTATACTAAGTATTACACTAGATGGCGTACCTATAATCCACTATTATTTGGATTATCCAATTAAACCCTCTGATCTGAGT